AAAGCAGAAGCACTGGCTTATTAAGTAAAACAGATGTCAGAAGATTAGATTTGTGTGTTTATGCATTCATCTGTGGTTTCTTAATCAAATAAAGAATGTTGTTGGCCATACACCCTTTTATTGTGGGCAATATCCATCTGCATTAGGAATAGAAAGATGCAGTGGATGGGCTTCAAGCAGACAAGAGGTGACCTGCAAGAGGGATGTCTTCTATGACTGTGTTGTTTAGATTAAAAAGATTCGCTCGTTGCATATTGTTAAAATGTAACAAAAAAATCAGGGACAGCTTAAAGTACAAGCAAGAAATGTCAAGGGATGGAATGCGTACACTGGTATATGCACATAACAAGAGAAAACATACAACAGATAATTTAATTCTCTCCTTTATGTCCTGAGTGCTTATGGATTTCATAGCTAAAACTAACTGCCTTTTGCCTACGCTTAAGTGCTGAGGATATATTGATGGCTTTCTTTCCAGGAAGGACAGCCCATCTACCTGGCGGTGAAGGGAGTAGTATTTGATGTTACCTCTGGAAAAGGTTAGTTTGTTTCTCATCTGCTGTCTGCTTTGTTTTCATGTTAGTGTTCAGTCATGTGTTTTTAAATATTCCCAGTGTATTAGAAGCCTGCAACAAAAAGAACACATTTTCCTCCTTTAAAAAACTTGGTTTTCCTCCTCTGACAGCTCCCCTACAAAGATTTTTATAGAACTTACACTGGTTTGAGATTACAGCACACATAGACAAGCCAGCACTGTCCAGTTAGCTTGGACACTGCTGACAGAAATGCTGAAGACACCTGAGTCACCACAAGTGGGGTCAGGCCACATGGAAGCTGCTGCTACAGCACTTCATTGTCCTGACCAGATCAAAGGTAACTTGGTTGTACCCATATGGCACTACACAATATCAGCACTGCTGCAGCTCATCTTTTCCTTTTGTGCTGGTATTCATCCATCTGTGCTATCCAAATGGCCCGCTCAAAACTCTTTTAAGAGTTCACTGTAATTCTGAAAGTAGGGCAGGGGATCAAGTAACTTTTTTTCTCCTTAAAAATTTTCTTATTTCATAAGGCTTCTTGTCTTGTCATTTACACCTAAACCATCTATGGCTGAATTTGCTGTTTGTGCCTTCCCTAAGAACTACAGATATTTTAATTTGAACTCCTGCTACTTAATCCAGATTTGCTATAAAATGTTTGAAGGGGCCATGAGGGTCTTAGACACTTGTCTTAATGTCATCATAAGAAAACTAACGGCTTGTTGCTTTGTTAATACTAACCTTGTTAGCGCAGCTTGTCTGGTCATACATGCTGGCTGATCTTTAAATCCTAAGTTAGACAAGGCTTGCCATGCAAATTCTGGAGGCTACAAACATCTCATAAGAATGTAAAGCACAGCTCCTTAAATAATTGATAAATTTTAAGACTGTAGTACAGGAATTTGAACAGCTATATAACCCCACCCTCTGTTGTTTTGGTTGGTTGGTTGGTTGGTTGGCTAGTTTTGTTGTTTGGGGTTTTTTTTTAAAGACTAGGATATATTATCAAAAAGTAGCAAATCCAAAGTCAGTTTTGGAAAGAAGGGTTTGGGACTTAAACTGTTGCTTTCAGATCACTAGCAAGTTTAAGAGGCTGGATGAAGAGTAGAGGCTGAACATAGCCTGTACATTGTCAGATCATCTCTGGATTTTATTTTTTTTTAAATCTGTCAGAATTTTATGGAAAAGGAGCCCCATACAATGCTTTGGTTGGAAAAGACTCAACAAGAGGAGTTGCAAAGATGTCTCTGGATCCAGCAGATCTTACACATGACACAGTAAGAAACTGGACCATTGGTTTAATTCCATTTTTCAAAGTTAAATTATTTTGAAAGACGATGAATAATAATTTTAAATTACTTGTATTTAAAACCAAAATACATTAATATTCTTTAAATACATAAAATAGATATGTATTTACTGCTCAAGAAAGGTGCTAACAGCCTTCAAGAGGAGAGTTTTTTTATCTGTGGAATCAATACAATTTATGTAAACATGTAAAGGGAAAATCACCTGCTGTTTAAAAATGCTCACAAAGAGAGTAAATAACTTTCTTTGTCAGCTGGTTTAGTGTATCCTGTGTCACTGACGTGGCAGTGGATGCTAACTCTGGCAGTGGGTTTTTACGTAGTTGAGATGTGATTTACTTATGGGAAAATGAAGGGAGGTTAGTGGTTTGTTTGACCTGAGTATATTAAAGTATATTAAAGTTTTGTCAAGGCTGAATTTGAATGAAAAGAATAAAATTACAAATTATACAGTTAAATTTGGTCATCATGCTCTGCAAAGTAAACCCAAAAGCTGACCCTAAGTTTTATAGTAATCAGTAAAAAAGAAAAAATGCATGTAAATATCTATATTTTTATTTCTTTGAGACAGGACTTTCATTTCCCTATTTTGTTTAGACAGGACTCACAGAAGAGGAACTGAAGTCCCTGGATGATATCTTCAATAATGTTTATAAGGCCAAATATCCAATTGTTGGCTATACTTCTCGACGAATTCTGAATGAGGATGGCAGCCCCAACCTAGACTTTAAACCTGAAGATCAGCCACATTTCAACATTAAAGATGAGTTTTGAGGAACATTTTTGTACCTAGAGAATGCCTGGGGAGAGGCACAGTAGAATATTAGATTGATTCTATGTTCTGGAGTTCATTACAACAATTAGCTATCACAAGCCTGTTTTTTTTCTGTTCAGAAAATATGTATGTGTGTGCAGGCATAGTTTAGAGGAAACAAACAGATCTGTAGCAGTGTCATATACTTGGGCTGTTTGCTGTGAAATATGGGAATTATTTAACAGGCAAATTCTTTCTGCTTGGATTTCTCTGTTTACAAGTGTGTAATGTAAAACTTTATTCCTTAGAAGAGAGAAGGAAGGTTTTAATAATTGAAACATGACCAGTCTTTTTGTAAATCCCAAATTGTTTCTTACTCCTTGGAAAAGTGTGAATGCATTAGCTAGACAAGCTAAAGTCAATTCTCTGTGCTTCATGTCAGGGTAGGTATCACAAGTACAAAGAGGTGCAATAGAGGCTTACATTTTAAAAAGCATTGTGGGGTTTAATATTTGATAGGTTTGAGAATACTGGATAAAAAGCAACTCAGTCTCTTAAAATGCAGTTACTGTAGAGTATTTCTGCAAAGCCTACAGGTGTAAACCAAGAAAAATAAATCTTATTTTCCCCATGAGAACTACTGTGACATTTTAAATATGACTGTTATGTTATTTTTGGATAAATGACACTTTCATTTTTAAAAATAATTATCAAAGATGTCATCTATATTAGATTATGATTATTTCCTTCTAGCTCCCTCCACTCTTTCTCTGACAAAAAAAGGAAATGAGAGCCCACTGTTTACCTCATACTCTTACAGCACAAGTTTATTATAGCAGTTTAGTGTCCTGTGGATATTGTTAGCATCTTTATATTGACAATTTTAGCAATTTCAGCTCTGATTTTTTGTGTCTCTTAGTTTTTCTTTGTTCTTACTCTGGCTTCATCATTGCTGTTCTAATGAAGCGTGCAGTCCCATGTTCCTCTTCCATTTAACCTAATATGAAACTGCAGATCCTGTAGGGTGAAAGCAGACCCCATTTATTGTCTTTCCTTGGAAAGACAAAAACACATTTATTGTGTTTCCTTGGCAGTCTTTCAGCAACAAGAGGACCATGAAAGCCTGTGCTATATAAATTGCTGCTAACCACTGACTTCCACTAACTTAAGAAGAATGTGAATTGTCATGAATGTGGATTTATCTGCCACTGTGACAGTTTGAATTGATATGGGAGAAACTAAGCAGCTGCTCTAAATATAGAATATTATTCTATATTAATAATACAAAAATAATAAAAATACAATTATATATTTTTGTTCTCTTTCTTTAGCATTTTGGCCATTTTCTTTGAAGGGAAAATTTTATTAGGTGATTCTCCACTTTCTAGTTTCCAGGGGACAGCTGCCTGTCAGTTGAATAACTAGAAAAGCTGTTTCTATGCATTGTCCATCCTTTTACAGTGTTGCTGATTTTATTCTAAACTTGTTTTGTAGTTTAGACCACTTCATTTGCAGGAGGGACTCCATGGGCCCCCCTGCTGTTGGATGGTGCTCTGGGTAGAATAAATAAATTGGCATCTCAGAGACTATTGATTCAGATTATTGCTTTTGTATTATTGTTTATTATTATTACAGCTGACCTTTTGATTAGATACCAGCAGCAGTTGGGAGTTTGCTCCTTGGTAATACCTGCCATCTTTATAGGAATGTGTGTGGGTTTGGTGGTAATGGTGGGTGGTTGGTTGCCAGCATTTCACAAATCATTTTCTCCTTCTCTTCCCTTCCTTGCATGCTTTTTTGTGGGGCAGCTTCAGTAGTTGTGCTACTATGATTATTGTAAGAGTTTTTGCTTCATCTGGAACCGTCATATCCGGCTGCATTTCAAAAATGTTGTAGCTGATTGCAGCTCATCACCACTGAGTGGCTTAGTGTTACTGTTCTCACTATGAAGGTCACCTTCGCTGATCTCAAAGCAGACAACTCAGCTTCTATTTGTACTAAATTTCGGGTTCTTTTCAGTGAAGAAATGCTCCTGTTGCAACAGGAAATGGTGATACAAACCCCCTCTTGTAATGCAAGATCCTTGCGAATCCAACCTGCCCTCACTCATGTTTGTGAGGGAGATGCTTTAGTCCGTCCATTCTGTTATTAAAGACAAGATTATCACAACTGAGTGCACTTTTTGTTTGTATTTCAATTTGGGAACTGGAGGATTCATATTTAATCACTTCCTAGGCTATTTCACTTGGGGTTCCCACTCAATATAAGTGTGATGGTAATAAGGCTTTAAGTGGACATACATCTTTAGCAGGTTTTTACTGACTGCTTTTTAAAAATGCATTGAGTACTCCAGTATTTCTTTTAGTGTTAAATTAACAACACTATTTTATGTCTAAGGTTCTTTTACTTGCCAACAGCCTGAAATTTATTTTGCTGTCTGCTATGGCTGTTTTGTTCAGTCAGCTGCATTTCCCTGACCTCTGTATATTCCAGTAAAACAGGTGCCCTCACAATCTATAAATTGCACTCAAAACAAGCTGTTTAACCTCCTGGAAAGTGTAGAATTTCTTTTCAATTTACTTGCTGCTTCCAGTTAACACTGCAAATGTTATTATTTTTGCTGTACTGCTTCCAACATGCATCTTTAATGAATTACTGCATCAAGAATTGCCTGACTTTAGTATTTAATAATAGTTGAGTCTATCTAGTTAAGAAGTATCAGACGGGTTCGTTCACTTAGAGGATGCATAACCTGAGTTGCTGTTTCCCACCCGGCACTCTTGTCAGTAGTCCCTCACTTTGATCCTTACATATTTGACTAATTTTTGTGACAGGATAGATTCTACCATCCCTGCTTTAAGACTCCTCTGTTTAACAACTGGAGCATCAGGACTACAAATATAAGCAACCATAATTCAGTGAAGGGGTTATGAAATGCAAATGAAAGTATTATCTTTATTTTTGCAGTTGCAGAGACCGCAATTAAGAGAAATCCTACCAAGAATGTGTGTGTTAGCAGCTGTTAGTCACAGTTATTAGTTATTGCATCCTAATCTAAACAAGACCACCTGCCAGAACACAGGGGCTCTGAATCCTGCAGACTGAGCAGCTGAGATTTTTCCAAGAATTTGGGATTACACATAAAATGAAGTTATTTCTTTCCTAACTCTAATGTGTATATGAACACTAATCTTTTTGTAGTCCTTTACCAAAATATGAGTTTTTCATTGGTTTAAAAAAAATCAGATTTTGTATTAGTTTTCTTATGCAGAAAAGGCATGTGTTTCTTTGAAAACTGCAGCCTCAGCTACTGTCTTTGTGGTCTGATGATACTGCTGGCTGTGAATTCATAACAGGAGTCAATGTAGGATCATGTTTCAGACTGCACTTGTCAGACCTGCCAGACTTTCATGTTTCAGTAAAAACTAAAAGAAGATGCTTATCTGTTTAAATATAGCACCTTGGAATGGGAGAAGCCTGAACACAGTTTGTAAATCACCTCCTTTTACTTTTGTTTCAAAACTACCGTCAGGCAATATACTCAACAAATGATAATTTGGAAAGGCATTAAATTGTTGCAGTTTTCTCTTGGAAGACTCCCAAGAACCTGTAGAACAAGAAAAAAAAAGGTTTAGCTGACTTTCCCATATGTATTCTGTCTCTTTTATTGA